TGGTTATTTACTAAAGAAAACACAACCAGCATTCTAAACAATGAAAGCTAAACTTGGACTTTCTGCTGGTCAAATATCCTGTTACCAACTTTACTTCAAATAATAACTTATTTTACTTTCAGAACTAAACAGGCCTAATGCCATAAAGATCAATCACAAGTTAAAATTAAGTTAGAATTAAATTATTAAATTAAATAAAGTACTTTAATCATCAATTTTAGACAGTAAATTTATGTTTTAATCTATATGTAGGATCAGGATCACTCATTGATTGAAATGAACAAACTAAAGCAGCATCAGATTAACTTAAACTTTAGCAGGCCTGTTTAATAAACAGACCATGACTGTGCACTACAAACACCTCTGACAACAAACACAACATAAATTTAAAGAACTATTCCAATTCTTAACAGTTTGAGCAATTAATTTCACTAGAATTGAGGTTTTTTTACTCACCGGTGCATGTCTACTCTTCTCCCCATGCATTGACTCTAACACAGAAACACACCTGCTCTACTCTCTATACCTAATCAGTGCCACTAAGCAAGATGTACAGCCCCCTGCTGTCTGAACCAGGTGAATTAAATGAATTAAATAATGTTATCTACAGTGATAAGAGAGAGGGAAAAACCTAAACAAACAGTTTTAGACGGTTCTGTCATTTGACATGACAGTGCCTATATATGTGTGTATCTGTAGTGTGTGTGTCTACAATGTGTGTGTCTACAATGTGTGTGTCTGTAATGTGTGTGTCTGTAACGTGTGCGTATAATGTGTGTGTGTGTGTGCAGAGGGAGGTGATGGAGGAGAAAGTGGGCTTGGACTTGGCCATGTTTACTCTCAGCTTGTGTTTCAGCTACAAGTCCCAGTCCCACAGCGTTTCATTTCTTCGGCTGCAGGATGCTTGTTGTTGTTCGGCTCCATAAAACATCTCTTCAGAGAAATGTTGCTCACTCAAATATTTATTGGCTTATCAAACACAAACAGGAAGTGCCAGTTTACAAGTTTTTCTTTTTTCGAAGTGGGGGTTGGAGATTTGTGACACGTCACTGTCGTTTCTGATTTAAAAAACAAACTGATTTACTTTTGAAGCTGAAATAACGGGAGAGTTTCTGCAGAAAACACTGAAGAGTTGCAGTTTTTTACTGTCTTTACTAAATGACTTCTGCTCTCCGTCCTGATCTTCGTCACAACGTACCTCTGAGCTTTATGTCCTAAAGTCATTCCAGAAGTCCAGAATATTTTACATTCTAGCTATAGTTTACCTACATTTTACTTAAAGCTACTGCTTTACTTGTTTTAGCCTTTACCCATTTTTCTCATTTTAGCTTGTGTTTTAAAGCTTTAGCTTGCATTTTGACAGCTTAAGCTTGTGCTTTGATTAATTTAGCTTGGAGAAGAGACGAAACGTTTCATTAGAGAAGAACCCGTCCAGAAGACCTATACAATTTTTTTCTTTTTGATTTTTTACCTGGATTACTGAGATGCATCAGGACAATTTAGCTTGTGTTTTGATGGGTTTAGCTCATGTTTTGACAGCTTTAGCTTGTGTTTTGATGACTTTAGTTATCTTTTAAAAAAAATCTTTAGCTTATATTTTAATGGCTTTAGCATATGTTTTGATTGTTTAGCATGTGTTTTGACAGCTTCAGCTTGTGTTTTGATGACGTGTTTATGTTTAGCTTGTGCTTTGATTACTTTAGCTTGTGCTTTGATGACTTTAGCTTGTGTTTTTTTATAACTAACATAAATGTTGATGGTTTAGCTTGTGTTTTGTTAACTTTATCATATGTTTTGAGGGCTTGAGCTTGTATTTTGACAGCTTTGGATTATGTTTTGATGTTTAGCTCATGTTTTGACAGATTTMGCTTATATTTTGATGGCTTTAGCATGTGTTTTGATTGTTTAACATGTGTTTTGATGGTTTAGCATGCGTTTCGACAGCTTTAGCTTGTGTTTTGATGACATATTTATCTTTAGCTTGTGTTTTGATGAATTTAGTTGGGCTTTTTAAAATCTTTAGCTTGTGCTCTGCTTGTTTTACTTCAGTAGTTTCAGCTTCTCCAGCAGACTTCAGAACTCGTTTTGAACCTGTTTCAAACCTGTTCAGAACTCAACATTCAAGCTGAATTTTCACAGAAAATATATTTTACTGGCTACTTCGGCTCTTCAGCTGAACTGTGAGATTATATTTAGTTCGGCTGTGGGTCCATGTGGGAGCTCTTTTCTCGTCAGATCCTCTTGGCCTTTCATGGTCTGAGGTTCTGGTTCTGGTCCTGGCTTGGAGCTCTTTTCAGACATGGTGGTTTAGGCGGGGTTGGCTGGGTCCACAGTTTTTGCCCCACCAAAGATCTCTGCTCCTCTTTCTTTTTCTTCTTGTCCTGAACCCGGCGGCACTCGCTCCCTGCTTCTCTCTGAAACTGTAAGTTATTTGAATATTTGTAGGATTTGTTGGAAATCAGCTGTAAATAAAAATGTTGTGTTTCTGTTCATGAATTGATCTTTAGTTTTTATTTCCTCTGAGGGGAAACCGAACAC